GGTTGGTTGATTGCCAGCATTCAATTGCTGCACACACATACGCGCTTCAAGTTGGAGTCCGGGGCCTTCGTACAGCCCTGGAGCGGGACAGGATTGCTGAGTTGCAACGGATGGCTGAGCGCCAGGGCGAGGAGCTTAGACATGGAGACGCCAGGAGAATGTGGGCTGCTGTGCGGAGGATCGTACCCAGCATGCGCAAAGCACTTGGGGGATCGGCCTGGACCTTCGACAAGGTGGCGGAGCAATGCAGAAGTCATTTCGCCAGTATTGAGGATGGCGAGGAAGTCGACCTTGAGATCTTAGCTGATTTAGTGCATCATGGCAATGACTGGGCACAGTTGGTCGTGGCGGGCCGACAAGTTGATGCGCTAGCCATGCCAACGATCTTCGAGTTGGAGAAGGCGGTTCGACGCATACAATGCGGCAAGGCTTACGATATCAGCGACTTCCCTCCGGAGCTGGCCAAAGCAGAGCCTAGGAAGTTTGCGACGGTTTTGTGGCCATTGTTCCTGAAGTCATGGGTATGGATGGCAGACACCCTCGCCTCCAAAGGCGGCAGAGTCATGCCTTTGTACAAAGGCAGTGGTGGCCGAGACTCAATCGACAGCTTTCGTAGCATTTGTGTGACATCTGTTGGCACTAGGTGCTGCCAAGCAGTCTTGCGAGAAAAGATCATGGCTGGCATTCGGCCTCACCTTCCGGACTTGCAAATTGGGGGGCTCCCTGGTATGGGCACGGATTATGCATCCCAAGCTCTCAGAGCCCAAATGGCCTTAGCAGTGGCGAGCAAGGCTTCCTTTGCGGTGATCTTCATTGATCTTGCTCAGGCCTTTTGTACGACCAGTCGAATGTCCTTTTGTGGAGACCCTCTGGACCTGCTCTCGGAGGAGGACTGGGATGCAGTGCCGCTGGCCGAACTCGGCCATCGACCAGCAGTTCAGCAGTTTGGGCTCTCTCAAGATGTTCAACATGCTGCCCAACAGGCGCTGCATAATTCCTGGTTCTATGTTCAAAGACGAGGCCAGCTTCATGATCGGACGGTTGTTCGTAGCAGGAGAGGGACGCGCCCCGGCACACCCACGGCAGACATTGCTTTCACAGCGGTCATGGCCAAAGTCCTCTGCAGTCTCAACCGCGACCTGGAAGAGGTCTTGGCAGTTCCGAACAGGCCAACTGTCCCGCCCATTGTGTGGATGGACGACCTGGCTATCTTGGTGCAGTGCAAGGATCCAGGGTTGCTTATGGACAAGGTGTCCTTCACCATGGGGGCCGTTCATCATCGCATGAGGGAACATGGTTGGAGCATCAATTACAAGAAGGGGAAGACAGAGGTCTTGCTTCGGCTTGCTGGGAGTGGTGCAGAGAAGTGGAGACGTAAGCTGCATCACGAGGAGGGAAATCAGTTTCAACTTCAGTCAGAGCAGATTCTCCACACTACCTCCCGCTATAAACATCTTGGCACCTTTGTGGATGCGCGGGTTTCCATGGAGACTGAGATCAAACATAGACTCGCTCAAGCGGCTGCAGCATGGCGTAGTGCGGCAAAGAGGATCTTTTCCAATATCAAGGTGCCTTTGCAGACAAGACTGCAGCTGTATCGATCATTGGTTTTGTCCAAACTGCTCTACAACTGCGGGACGTGGCCGGCCTTGGCTCCCTCTTTTTGCTCAAGAAGTTGAACGCCTTTGTCTTGAGATGTTACAGAGGCTTAGCAGGTCTGCAGCATACCGCCTTGAGTAGCCATGTGAACGATCGCTATGTCCTGCGGGAGCTCATGGCACCGGATGTTCATACAATGGTTCGAGCGGCCAGGTTGAGGTACTTTCGGCGTCTTTATTGTGGAGCGCCTGACATCCTGACCGCTTTGTTGATCAAAGAGGACGAAGAGCTGCAGCAAAGCTGGTTTGAGGCCCTTAGGGACGATCTTCGCTGGCTACGCACTTGGTTTGAACCGGAGTTTGCTTCCATGGCCGAGCCATCGTGTGATCTGTCCCCTTGGATCAACTATGCGGTGGGCAGCCACCATCGTTGGGCGAGCCGTATTAAGACAGCTACTCTGAAGCAAGCGTGGCAAGGAGCCAAAGACCTTGACCGGCAGGAGTGGGAGGCGGCCTACATCCTCGACCTGAAGGCGGCAGGAGTGCAGGTCCCCCACCCAGCCTCGCACGAACCCAGGTCCGCCCTTGACTGGGCATGCGCAGAGTGCTCGAAGAAGTTTCCAGCGAGGTGGCAGCTCCGGTTACACGGATACAGGCAGCATGGACAATTCACGTGGATGAGACGTTTCATGTACAATGGAGGAGTTTGCTGCGCCTGCATGCGGGACTTCCATGACAGGAATCGCCTGAGGCAGCACCTGACGTATCACGAGGAGTCCTGCTTCCGGTGGTTGCAAGCCAACATGCACCCAATGACCAACGACCAGGTCAGTGTGGATGACTCAGTTGAACACCGTCTGCAGCAGCGACCCCACAGGCTGCCTTGGGTGAGGCTTCCTGGCCCTTTGCTGCCTGATCGCGCCATGAGGGAGGCCGTAGCAGTGGATGAGGGGATCATCCTGGACCTGCCTGACCTCGAGGTCGCAGTGCGAGAAGGGGAGGCCGCTTCGCAACAACGGGGAGTTCAGGGGAGACAAGTGGTTCCTGGAGATCAGACATGCGGAGTCGGACAAGCAGCTGAGACTCATCCCGAGCACCTTCCAGCAGCAGTTGGCCCAAGCTCGGCATCGGATGCGCCCCGAGAGGAAGCACATGCGGCCCCAGCTGATCAGGAGACGGAAAAGCCAGAGGGTGCTGAGGTCCCACATTGGGATAGGCGTATGCCGGGAGGGGACAGGTTTGTCCTGTACTTGTATTCTGGCAGACGCAGACCGGGCGACTTCACGCACTGGGCCCATCAGCTTGGAAGTTCCAGTCAAGGACTCACTTTTTGGATCATCACGCTCGATGTCGTCTATGGGGAGGACTGGGATTTGCTGAATCCGCAGGTGCAGGAGACGTGGCGGCGGCATTTGCTACGGGGACGCATAGCGGGCTTGATGGTGGCGCCCCCCTGTGAAACCTGGTCGAGGGCGCGATGGAGAGCCATCTTCGAACCTGGAGATCGAGGGCCCAAGCCGGTGCGGGACGCTGAGCATCCATGGGGGCTCCAGCATGTTGGCCTTCGCCAGCACAGACAGGTCAGGGTCGCGAACCAGCTCCTTCAGGTGGCTTTGTCCTTCATGGCGGTTGCCCTTCGGGTTGGGGCCACAGGCATCTGTGAACACCCAGCGGAGCCGGCGGAAAGCTACATGCCTTCGATTTGGCGCTTGTGGCAGGTGCAGTTGCTCCTCAAGGACAGGCGGGCGGCGCGCTACATGATCAAGCAACACGAGTTCGGTGGTGTGTCCACGAAGCCGACCCACTTCCTGGTGATCAACGGCGATCGGGTGCAGCAAGTCTTTGGGGAGGAGAAGGTCGCACTTCATCTGCGGCCCCCCCGGCAGCAGTTGATTGGCAAGGACGAACATGGGAGATGGAGGACATCCCTAGCCAAGGAGTACCCGGCGGCCTTGAACAAGGCTTTGGTGAGGCTGTTGGTGCAGGATAGGAGGTGCGAACGTTCTTCTAATCAGGGAGACATCGCTTTTGCCTCCTATGTGGCCGAGCTCAATGCTCGAGCTGCATCGTCTGAAGCCCAAATGGGCCCAGAGACTTTGCGGGGTGACCCGCGTTGAATTCGCACGCCAGAGCAGAGCTTTAGACTCGGTGCTCGAGAAAGAAAGAAAGAAAGAAGGTATATATAGATATATATATATATGTATATACATACGTATTTGCATGGATGAACATTTCCTCATGTATATGTACATCTGTATACAGGTGTATATACATATATATATATATAGTTATATGAGTGTGTGTGGTATTGACTCACAGCTTTTGACACCGAGACGTACGTATTCATTCACAACGAGACGTTGTTCACATCTAAGTATAGTGCCCTGGGTCAGCAGAAGCAAGAAGGGATCCACAAGACAAGGTAGGTCATCGTCCCCTTCAGTGCGACGAGGAAGGAAGCCACGGGAAATTTCGGACAAATACATAATTTCGAAATACAAATAACGATGCTAGAAATTGATACAAAGAGATACCTACAACACCAAAAGACAAGTGGCTACACATTGCAAACAAACACGCAACACCACATGTGCATATAGTAATGTTTTCTCCATTCCTTACACTAACTGTCCTGCCTTACCATCTACCCATGGCCAAGAGGAGTCAATCACCGCAGCACCATTCCTGGGGCAATGCTCTAAGCCGTCAACGAACTGTAAATTGGCAATTCGCTTGTATTTCGCCTTTCTTGCATGGTTCCTGCTTGATTTTGTGCCTTAATCCTTATTTGCCCAGTGGCCCTAGGAAAGCAGGGAACCCCTTTGAGGTTGATTCCAAGTTTATTCAACTTTTAGTCGGGGTTCTGAAACAGACTGCTACTTAGAGGGTGCTAGACCAAACAAGTAGCTGGAGCTTCAAGCGATGGCTCAACTGATTCTGCGCAGGGAGAAGCCGGGAACCAGTGGACTTTGAAACGTCTGGCATGGTGCTAGTGAACAACAGAGAGCTGGCCTCGCTTTCTCCAGGTTTCGCGATTTGCCCAAACCAAGGTATACTCAACGTGTTGTTCTTTATTTTTCTTTTATTTTTTCCGATGCGCCATATTTACCGCCAAGCTCAAGATTAACCTGCTCGTTCTCAGAAGGGAATGAGGCAATGACCCCTAAAAACTATCCCCTATGGTTTCCTTTGCGGGAATCCCCAGGTTCATTCCCAAAACCTGGAAGGTCATTCCCTACCTATCGCACCAAGTTAAACTAGGCTGTCCTCAGATCCCCTGCGAAAAGTTCGACTTTTAGTGGGTTAAATGGAAACTACCACGAAACACTAGAAAGCTAAAGCTAAAAAGCTAAGGGGATGGCTGGGAACCGAGTAAACTGGTGCCCGAGGATCCCCACAAGCCTTGTTCACTAGCCGCACATTGGCGCGGGCGGCGCAAAGCGCCCCACACACCTCCAGGCACCCGGCCTGGCGAGCCGAGTTGTTTCCATACCCCCCCTTCAGTCCCATGTGCTCTCTCGCGGGGTCCTTGAGTTGAAACAAATGCAAAAGGCCAAGGTCCTTTTGTTTTCTATGTTGATTGTCAGGTAAACCCATTTTGCAACAAGAAAAGGAGGGGCGCTGAACATGTGCAACTGGACTGGAATTGGATTCCCGTTTTAGCTTTGGGCTCAGTTGGTCCCAGCATGGCGTGTTTCTTTCAAATTGCAATTCTGCACCATCACGAAAGCAGTGCATTGTTGACTGTTGATAGCAAATGTATTTCCACACTTTGGTTGGAGCAGGCAAGCGTCAAAGCTGGAAGTAGGGAGGGCTCCAATTTGGAAGCCCGTGTTGACCCAAACAATTGAAGAGATTAGCCTCACCGGAAAGAGGCACTCGTTTTGTCAACGCGCATGCGCAGTCAGGCGAAGCGGCTGCGAATTCGGTGCCAAGTCGTCAGACCCAAGCCGGCTGATTGGGTGGCCAAAAGCAAATTTCAGCTCCAGTTCCGAAAGCAACCCTTGATTGATTACCCCGATAGCCATTTAATCTCTTGTGGCACATGCGAATAGTGCATTTTGTTTTTCTTCCTGCGCACTCACATGTGTGTATACATATATGTATGCAAATGCACATCATACAGAAGTACATGAACCCCGGCTCACCACGCGAGGCATGGAGTCTCCAACCGTTGTTTGCGGCTTTGCGGCCCGGGCTGGCCGGCTGACAGGCAAGGCCAAGAAACGCTAATGTAATAAGACTGGCCGCGTGTTGGCGGCAACTTTGGGAGGACCCTCCTACTGTGGCCTAATCTTGCTGCCCGTTTGGCGCAGGATACAGGAAGTTGGGGCGCAACAAAAGGCATTGCCAGGTGGCTCCTCGCGAGCAACCACCTCATTGATGGTAGGGCTGGCCTCCAAGTCATGATGGTCCACTAACTTTGTATTTTCCAGGTCAATGTTGTAAGTTGCTGCTCCGTTGAAATTCTGCTTCTAATAGAAACCAACATCAGCAGTTGAATGGCGCTTTTGGCTGAATCCGTTTGCCTGGAATGCTAGCAATTCCGACCTTGTTCCATGCACATATGCATCACACGAACCGACTGCATCTGAAGGGCATTCCACAGAACTGCTGTGACCAAGGTAAAAACAAGTATGACCAGCGCAGAACCCTCGGCCTTGCTGCCAATTGGAGCAAGTTGGTGCGGCGCTGACCCTCTCAAGAGCTCTCGGAAGGATTTGACGTCAAGCCACTTTACACCTTTTTGCTGCTTTACTCCAGGCCCACATAATCGGCCAAGTCTGGCTTGTCAAACTCCGCACAATTCACGTCTGCAGCGCCTGGGTGTGGAACCAAAGGCCCCTTCAGGAGATGCCTTTTGCGTTTCCGGCTCTCTACTTTGTGGGGAGCGTCCTCCCAGTCGCTTCGCCGTTCGGCGTGATCCACATAGAATCAGAGGGAAGGGGGGGGGATGGAGCAAGCTAGTGCCCGAAGGCATTCAAACCAAGGGCAGACCGGAAAGGTGCAGCTGACCCTCTCGGTTCCACCCGTGCCCCTGTGGATCCCAGACTGGTTTGCCGGGGGCCGTCCTTGAGGATTTCTGGTTAAAATTTGTGGGTTTGTTTCAGCGGCTCCTTGGGGGTGCGGTTTGAAGAATACGAGTCAGGCCCGAAACTTCTCGTCATCTTCCGTTCCCGGAAATCAGGGAATCCACCGGTGGCCGGATTCTCTTAAAAGTCTGAAAATGCGATCGGCTGAGGTCTGGGCAAATGAAAAAGTGGAATTATTGGTTGTTTCTCTTGCGTGGTCTGGGCAAAGTAAGGTGGAATTCTTGAATCCCTGGTTGTTTCTCTTTTCTGTGCGTGACGTGCGTGTCACCTTTGCCCAGACCTCAAACGCTGCCCTTGATGTCCACCAAGGGCCTTTGGAAGAGAAAGCTGGGTCTCAGCAGCTGAAGGCTGCCGAAGCTGGGCCCACCCGCCGGTGCCCAGCCTAAACGGCCCAGCTCACCAGCTAACAGCTCCACAGGGAATCCGTGGGGAAAGTTCCCACCAGCCTGGCATGGGCGGCTTCATGTTTCATGTGTTCTTGATTCTTCCTATGTATGATTGTTTTTTGGTTTGCTTGTTTGTTTGCTTGATGGCTTGTTTGTTTGCTTGATGGCTTGTTTGTTCGCTTGCTGGTTGTTTGTTTCTTCGTTTGTTGGCTTGCTTGTTTGCTTGATTGCTTGCCTGCTTGTTGTTGGTTGGTCGGTTGGTTGATTTGATTGCTTGCTTGCTTGCTTGCTTGATTGCTTGATTGCTTGATTGCTTGATTGCTTGATTGATTGATTGATTGATTGATTGATTGATTGATTGATTGAGTGAGTGAGTGATTGATTGATTGATTGATTGATTGATTGATTGTTTTATTGCTTCTTTGTTTGCTTGTTTGTTTGCTTTGTTTGATTGTTTGTGCGTTGTTTGTTTGTTGGTTTGTTTGATGGTTTGTTTCATGGCTTGCTAGCTAGCTTGATTGCTTGCTTGCTTGCTTGCCTGTGTAATTGATTGATCGCCTGGTTGTGTACTTGTTACAGTATTTGCTTGTGTTAGCTTGGTTGCTTGTTTGCTTGCTTGATCGATTGCTTGCGTGTGCTCTTGATTGCGTTGTGTTTTTTGTGTGTTTAGTTTGCTCGATTGCTTGCTTGTTGGATTGATTGAGTTTTGTGTGTTTTTTGTTTGCTTGACTGCTTGTTTGTGTGCTTTGTTGCTTGATTGTCTGTTTGCTTCCGCGTTGTTTGTTTGTTTGTTTGGTTGTATGTTTGTTTGTTTGTTTGTTTGTTTGTTTGTTTGTTTGCTTGTATGTGTGCTTGCTTGCTTGCTTGCTTGCTTGCTTGCTTGCTTGCTTGCTTGCTTGCTTGCTTGCATGCTTGCTTGCTTGCTTGCCTGCCTGCTTGCTTGTTGGAATCGCTTGTCTGCTTGCGTGCTTGCTTTCTTACTTGTTGGCTTGCTTCTTGTTTGTTTGCTTGCTTGCCTGCTTGCGTGCATATGCGCTTGTCTGTGTTTGCTCGCTTGCTGGGTTGCTTGCTTGCTTGCCTTGCTTTGTTGTTTGTTTGCTTGGTCTCTAAAAAAAAAATGTTTGTTTGTTTGTTCGTTCGCTTCGATTGCTGGATCGTTTGTTTGTTTGTTTGATTGCTCGCTTGCTCGTTCGCTTGCATATTTGCTTGCTCAAGTGGTTGGTTGTGCGTCTGTTTGACCGTCTGTCCGTCTGTCCATCTGTCCGTCTGCATTCGCTTGCTTGCTTGCTTGCTTGCTTGCTTGCTTGCTTGCTTGCTTGTTGCTTGCCCTTTGTCCTCGTATTGCTGTGTGTTCTCAAAAGAGTGGCACAAAACCGCTCGTGCAAACTTCCACCCCTGGGAAGAAACCGTTGTGGTGTTCAAGCAGGTTGACAAAACTAGTCATTGAACCAAAAGGAATAGCAACTGCACATTATCCGTCCATAAAATGCAAGCAGGCAAGGTCCCCGCCTCCCCTGTGGTTATCCTAGCGTGGCGGAAGGCGAAATCGTAGTCATGGTCCTTAAGTGCCCGCGGTGCGAAGCAAAGCCATCCTCCACCAGGAGGACACGCAGGATGTCCAAAAAACTATTGATTCCAATCGAGCAAAGGTGGTATTACCTTTGGTGGGAAGAGTTGCACCTCCAGTGGCGCTGGGTACATAAAGGTAATGATGATTTCTCTGGTTACGCGCTGGGCCCTACTATTCGAGCCCCATGTTGCGGGGTCATGTCTGAAAAAGGATATGGTAGATAAGGCTATTCAAAGTTAAGGTTTCCCTCCTCCCGGCTGAAAACACGCTAAAAAACAACCATGATCCAGCCATCATCAGGCGTTGCAGTGCATGTCCCCATCTCCTTTCCGCTAAAGCTTTCAGTGTTGCCTTGGCATCCGATGCTTTATTGGAGCCTGCCTTGCCGGCCAACGCAAAACACTCAAATCTTACCAAGCAAAATTGGGTCAGGCGCAAGGTTGCCTAGGGCAAAGGCCCATGATTTCTGATTGCCGTTGTTTGGCTGAAATCCTACGGGGTCGATCCCTAACTATGTTCGAAGTGGCCCCGGGTTTGTTGAAGCAATTTCCGTTTGGATCAAACAGGAGTTTGTCATTGACAAGGCCGACTGCTCCACCCATCGGTCAACCAGAGTGGTGTCCCTTATATTGTTGGCGAAACCTGCATTCACATGATTGGCTCCCATTGGTTTTGGGCTGCTGACATGCGTGACTGGACGTGGCAGGCTGGACGAATGCCTGGATTCATGCCGAAGGCGCAAAGTCGTCTAGGGCGCACTGGACCTTCTTGAAGATGGCTCGGAAGTTCACTAGGAGGGGGCCCCACAGCTCTGTGTCTGCGCCCAGGGACACCTGCCAACTCAAATCGAACATCGAATTGCATCGATCCCCCCGGCAAGCCGCCGTTGATGGAAAGCTGGATGGTATAAAATTGTCTAAGCATACAACTTGCCTTCTCCGCTAGAACCTGCAGCAATGTTGGCTGTGGCCGAGAACAATTAGTTTTGCACGCTTCATGCGGCCCGTGTTGACTTTGGCATGGCGTCGGCACCCCCAAGCCTCCATTAGGTCGAAAGAGCTAGTTGGCAAATAATCGAATCCTTCATGCCAACACTCCTTGCTAACCTGGACCTTCATTCGTTACATAAATTTGTGCCCCTTGGATGTTTCGTAGCAGACATTTGCCAGTCGGGTGTATTTATGTATTTACTTCTTTTTTTTTGGGGGGGGAACGAGCGCAGATCTGGATTCGGGCATGTTTGGCTATTGCGGCGTCTCTCTTCTCTGTTGCGTGGAAACATGGAAACACACACGCAAAACGGGCGCAACTACCCGCAAAAAGGGCGCAAATACCCGTAAGGCGGGCGCAAAAACTCACAACGAGCGCAAATCCAAATTGGTATTTGCAAGCAGCCCGCGATCATGAAACGAGTGCTTT